ATGTTTCTTTTCTTCTTTCTTGCTATTTTTTTTTTTACTTCTTACTTGGTTACTTGCTTTCAAATTCTTTTTTTCCTTCAAGTTAATTTTAACGTTTCTTTCGTTCTTTATTTTCTTTATTCTTCAAAGCATTTCATTCACTTTCCTATTGTTCAGTTCTTTCGTTCTTTATTTATAGTTTCTTTTTTATCGTTCTTCGTTGCTAATTTTCTTGCTTTCTTTCACGTTTTCAGTCTTTCTTTCTTTAATCTTTTACTTTTTCTTGCTTGTATGTTGCTTGCTTTCATGATTTTTTTCTTTTATTTTAATCATTCTTCCAAGTTTTCTTTTATCATTCCTGCTTTCAAGATTTCTTTTTTTCCTTCCTTCATTTCTTCCTTTCTTCAATTTCTTAACATTTCTTACTAATTATTTTTCTTTCTTGCTTTCTTTTATTTCTTTCTTGCTTTCTTTTATTTCTTTTTATTTTCTTTCAACCGTGCTTTCAAATTTCCTTTTTTTTTTCTTTCTTCCTTCCATTTTTTCCTTCGTCTTTAATTTATTAACATTTCCTGCTTTCAAGATTTCTTTGTCTCTTTATTTTTTTCCCAAATCATTTGCTAAAACTTTCTTTATTTCTTTCTTCTTTCAATTTTTCTTTTAATCTTTCTTTCATGTTTTCTTTTTCATTCATGCTTTCAATGTTTTTTTCTTTCTCTCTTTCTTTCTTTTTCAAGATCTTCTCCATACTTTTACTTTTTACTCATGTTTTCTTTCATTTCTTTTTTATTTCCTTCTTTCATATTTCCAAGTTTTTCTTATTTATTTGCTGCTTGATTCCAACCTTTTTCCGTTCTCTCCTGCATTTCTCCTTCTTAATTTATTTATTTACTTATTCTCCTTTTGATTTTTTTTTATCTTTCTCTTGTGTTTATTTTTCGTTCTTTTATTCAAAACCCTTTCTTTATTGTTTAGAGTTTTATTTGGCATGTTAATTCTTTCGATGTTTTTCTATTCGTCTTCTTAAAAATACGGTTTTATGACATCTTTCTTTCTTATTCAATTTTCTTTCCTTGTTTCTTTTCTATCACTTTTTTTCAATTTTTCTTTTTATTCGTTTTTTTTTCTTTCTTTCTTTTTCTACAGTGTTTCTTCCGTTCTTTCTTAATTTTTCTTTCTTTCGTTTTTCTATGTATATCTTTTGATTTTTTTTTTTTATCCTTTCTTTTCCCGTCTATTTCTCTCTTTCTTCCCCTCGACTTTACGGTCAATATATTAAAATTTTCATTTTCTTTTCTACCTCCTCTTATTTTATCTTTCTCTCTATCTTTTTATTTATATAAAAGGATGTATTTTTATGTAAATTTTGGCAAAAGAGGCGGTCGACTGATTGTTAATGTCAAAAAGAAACGAAGGGAAAATATAAAGAATGGAACGACAACAGATCCTCACACCTTTAGCCTCCGCAAAGTATTTGAAGTTGAATGTTAGGAAAAGAGGAGGAGATAAAATATAGATTAAACTAAAGATTCCTTCGCTTATTTATTATTCAATGAGCGAAACATAATAGATCATAATATAGATAGATAGGTAGGTAGGAACAGATTGGGATAGATAGATTTGAAACACATTAGATTGATATATATGAACATAGATAGATAGATAGATAGATAGGAACAGAGTGTGATGGATTTGAAAAGCATAAGATTGGTACATAGGAACAGATTGAGATAAATGTAAAAGGCTCAGAAAAAATTATATAGTTAAATTATATATTTCTTTCTCTCTCTCTCTCTCTCTATATATATATATATATATATATATATATATATATATATATATATATATATATATATATGTGGGGAATATTTATCGTAATATTTTTGAAATTTGAAATTTTATATATATATATATATATAATAATGAACTAATTTTAAATGCCGACATAAGAACAACCTAAACCTAAATAAATATATTTAGGAATAACTATATAGGAAGACTAATATTACATGATCTTGTTTTTTTATTTTTGGAAATGTTGCTATGCACACATAAGTGCGAACACATAACTGTATATATATAACTATGTAATTGAACTTGAACATTGATACGTCTTTTGATATGTATATGTATATGCGTTTATATGGAAAGTTAGGCATGCATGTGTTATTTTTGTGCATTGTGGGCATATATTTGGAGTGGGTGGGTATGGATATGGATATGTATGTATATATACTTGTATGTATATAGGTGATTTTTTTTAAATATATGTACTTATATGTATATATGGGTGTATATATGTGTGTGTGTGGCTATGTGGGTACATGTATATGTGGATGTGTATGTATACAATTTTTATAATTTCTATATATGTATGTGTGAGTGTGGGTGTGTATGGGTACATGTATGTCAATCCATAGATAGTGTATGTATGTATGTATGTATGTATGTATGTATGTATAAATATAATTTGTGAGTTCATATATATAATATGGGAGAATATAGATATAATAATGTAATTAAGTATGGATTTTGATATGTTTTTTGCATGCACGCACATCTGGGTGTATATATGTATAAGTGTATATTTTTGTGTATGTGTATATGTGTGTATATGTGTATATGTATATGTGTGTGTATATATGTGTATATGTATGTGTGTATGTATATATGTGTATGTGTGTGTATATATATATATATGGGTGTATATATGTGGGTATATGTGTGTGTATATGTACATATGTATGTATGTATGTGTGTGTATATCTACATATGTATGTGTGTATGTATGAGTATATACGCATATATATATATATATAAAATATATATATATGTGTGTGTGTGTGTATGTGAATATATGTATATATATGGATGTGTATGTATATGTATGTGTGTATGTGCACGGATATGTGTATATCTGTGTATGTATATATTTATGGATACCTAGAATATTATAAAAGAAAGACTTACAGTCCTGTTATTAGTGTTTTATCTCATTTTCTCATTTAATATTCTCCAATTAGAAGTGTGTGTTCAAAATTCTTTATAATATGAAGGAAAATTTTTTAAATTGATAATTTAATTTAAATTGAAATATATTACCCTTTAATAATCATTACTGATGATAAAATATTTAAACTGGAAATTTTTTTTATATTTAGTTAGATGTTAATACATGAAGTTACCTGTGTATATCGGCACATGGGTACCTTTATGAGTGATTGCACATGTAAAGGAACGTGGGTATATTTGATATTTGCATGGGTGTGTATACAGTATATGACAGAGCAAGATCTTTAATATTACCTTCAAATATTACCCTATATTAACTTAACTAAAATTTAAGTAAAAGAGATTACCTATCTAGAAACAGTCACGAGTTAAATTCATGAACAAAATTCAAACGGATAGAGATGTCAACTTAATAATCAATAATAAACTTTTTTAAAGAGATTAACAAAAAGATTACGAGAAGTAAACTTATATTTTAAAATAAAATTTTATTCTTTTAATGTACTTCCTATTTCATAGAAAATCCCCAAAATTTAAAAAAAGTTTAAATCACTAACAAACATCAAATTAATTTATTTGTAGGCAGTCTAGAGACATTCAAATTTATATCAAACATTATAATCTTTATGGACCCCAAAATAACAAAGTAAAACAAAATAACAGCGTCTGTTTCTTGGCTTTTTTTACAAAGAAAATTAGTGACATCTTCTCTCTTAACTTCCTTCTCTCTTTTTCTCTCTATGGGGTTTTTCTTCTCTACCTCTTCGATATCTATATATAACTTCCGTTAAATTAACCGTTCAAATGTGTCAATGTCTGCTAACTCACTCATGTTTTCTCTCTCCCCCCTCACTTCCACACTTCGTTAATTTACATATGTTTAATACGGCCCGTCAAAAATGTGTAAATTTTCTTTTAATTCTTTGTTTAGAAGTAAAGTCTGATGATCCGGAGTCCTTTAAAAGGGCTGTGGTGAAATAATTTATTACATGGAAACTTAAAGTGGCTGTTTTTATTTAAATTATATCTATCTATCTATCTATCTATCTATCTCTCTCTCTCTCTCTATATATATATATATATATATATATATATGGAATTTCAAAACCCACGATAATTCCTTATATATATATATATATATATATATATATATATATATATATATAACCTACGATAACTATTCTATATATATATATATATATATATATATATATATATATATATATATATATATATATATGTTTTAAGCGTTTCACCCCAATCAAGGGTTTACAGTGAGTTGGAGCGGGAGCAAAGAGGAGTGATAGAGGAAAAGATAAAGAGAAGGATAGGGGATAGATCAAGGCATCTGGAGACGTCGATTGACATTACATTTGAATAGTTGGAGATTATAGCTCACAGGGAAACAGGAAAGAGGAGGGAGTTCTACAGGCGAGAAGTGAGACATGAAGATATATATATATATATATATATATATATATATATATATATATATAGTACCTTGACGTGGTGTAATGGTTAGAAAGCTTGTCTTGCTAGATCAATTACGACTGAGTTCGATCCTCACTGGGTGCCCCATACTTTCAGCCTTGAGTCACATCTAAGCCGGGCTTAGAAAATCACTATATATATAAAATATATATATATATATATATATATATATATATATATATATATATATATATAAACAAATCAAACTATAGATAACTCTTACAAATATAACCCAGCCAATACAAATCCTGTCAACAGAAATAATTTAATCGATAAAATTAATATATATATATATATATATATATATATATATACTAACCAAGTTAAGATCACAATGTGACGTGTTCCAAATCATTATTTGGATCTGGTTCGAAGGCTGTCCGCATTTGATCCAGCTAGACTTTACGCTAGACATGCATTTTCACATCCAGATAACTTTTAATATGCTCACTTCCGCATCTCAGCAATGACTTAAATAGCATGGTAGATATGCGTCTCTGGCCTTCGGTGGGTGGTAGAAGGACAAATGGGAACCCCAGACCGTGGAGTAGGCCACGGAAAACCACTCCGCTATCTTTCGAAATAATGTATATTAATTCCGGGCTAATAAAGAAAAGGAAAACGTGGGTGAAGGTGGGGAAGAAATACTGTCGCTTTTAACACTGGTGATTAAGATGGATATGTCTGCCTTTTTTTTTCTTCTGGTCTTTTCAAGATTCAGCACAAATTTAAAAAAAAATACCTGCTTCCCTCAACCTTCCCATATTCAACATTTATTACATCAAAGATATTTTTTTGAAGAAGCTTTTTCTCAGAATGAAAAGCGTACCAAATAAGTTTCTATCTTGACGTTCATATATATATATATATATATATATATATATATATATATATATATATATATATTGCAAATAAATGAAATTTTGAAATTCCCCATCTGAATGGCCATTTCGCTCCGCAAGATCTTGTCAACACTAAAAAGTTAGATAAAAGTTAGTTTAATTTATGTGTAATTTGTATATATGCTCTGTAATAAATACATTGAGCTCTATCTGTGCTTTAGATTTAGTATTTTATATTATTAGGATTCACTTGGATTACTTACCCCCGGATTTTTACCTGTATGTATATGAGATTGAATATTTATCATCTGGAGGTATTTTCATTTTAAATTGATAATTTAACTTAAATTTAAATATACCAAAGTTTAGTTAGCAATATTGATAGTAAAATATTAAATTATTTTTTTTTATATTTAAACACATCAGATGTCACCTAACGTTAAACATTAACTATGAAATTAAACATAAATCTAAATAAATTCAAATATAAAAATATATCTAATTATTTATAAATGTATGTGTATGTAATTTATGTATGAATATGTATAGGTACCTGTGTATATCGCTACATGTGTGTCTATGTGTAATTTCGCATGTAAATAAACGTATGTATATATGGGATTGGCATGAATATGTATGTGATATATATAAGAAGAAAGCAAAATCTTTAATATTACTCTCAAATATTACTCCATTTTAATTAAACCTAAACTTTAAGTAAGAAAGATTGCCCATATAAAATAATTACAAATTGCATTCATAAATTAAATTCAAACTGATAAAGATGTTACCGTAACTATTTTTTACACTATTAAAAAAGTACAATTGGTCGGATAAACAAACTGTTATAATTTAAAATATTTTTTTAATATGTTCTCTATAAATGTGTTAATAAATATAGTATTTAACTTATATTAAATTCCTAAACTATTTCTTTAAAAAAAATAAATATTTAAATTGATAGCAAACATCAAATTAATTTATTCGTGTTTTTTTAGGCATCTAAATTACTATCAAGCATTAAAATCTATTCTTTCCATAAATTGCTAAAACCCAATTACAGCCTCTTTCTCTTTACTTCCCTCTCCCTCTTCTTTCTTTTTTTTTCTTTTCTCCCTTCTCCCTTCCCATTACAATCTATCACTT